CATACGCTAAAAAATCCCTGGTCCATTTTTGTCATCCCTTACATCTTACCATTAAGCAGTGTGTGCCTGAAAGCTTCCCGAGTGTGAGTGCTTTTCAAACCTCTGCTCTCCAAGTTATCAGCTTTGTGTCGTTTGTAGTCGTTGCTGTGATTGTTAGCTTAAGAAACGCAGCATTAGCAGCTACAATAGCTAGTGTTTGGAGTGTGCCTGTATTTCTTGCGCTTTTCATCTAACTTTCAAGTAGAAATACGTTTCAGCATGGATGTGTGAGTGTATAGGGAGGGCTTGCTCACGTTCAGGAGTGTAGTCTTATCACGGCTGGAAACGGCATCGTTCGTTCTCAGGGTACAATCGGCTTTCAATAAGAGTGGGAGGAGGAGGTAGGAAGGTCACGATAGCTCAGGCCTTTGATCTCGCTTGTATGAACCGTAGGAGTCACTGGATCTTTTCCATCTGTTCTCCACTCCCTTCCATGTTTCCTGGAGCTACTTTCGGACAGATTTGTAGCTTCACCAGCTGGGACACAGGCCAGCGTTCTGATCTGATGAGTTGCCTGTGTCCAAGGTCATACTTGATGGAAAAGTCTTTGGCGCCAGGCTTGCGGAGCTGTAACGTGATTTGCTGCTAGAGATCAGCCAGGGAATGAGGCATTCCATGCAGGGGTCGCTCAGGCCGTCACACTTGCAAACAGTTTACGTCTGCGTGAAAACTAAGAATCTATATAAATATATATTATATCTTTTTTATTTAGAGGTGTAGTGATTGACATAATTCACTCACGTTTTCAGTTTTGGCGGCAGTTCTTCCTGTTTGTCTAGAAGTCTTCTCATCAGGGCTCTATAAATAGCGAACTACGGCAGATATGTAATATTTAATGCAGCCGAACCGTGTATTACAATGCCGTTATGTGATGACTTTCAAAGAGAAAAGCAAGCAGACTCGGAATAAAGTATTATTTTATTTTTAAAAAATGTTTTCGGATTTCATATTGCATAAACACCATATCCCAACGTGCATTGCGGCTAAACCATCCAATCACCGAGCTGAGGATCTTGCCTACGTCTGTTTCCGGTATGGTTTATGACGGATGTATTTTTTTATACACACATTCCTTCACATTTAAATTTAAATTTACATTAAAGTATTTTGTGAGGCCTTCTAAAATGTTTTTAAATATAACTACAGTTCTAGTTGAAGAGTTTGTAAATTAACATGAACCCAACTGTTGCCTGGCAACGCAATCGCACAACGTCACGTCCGTTAATTCCACACACATGGATTAACATCGATTTAATACATTAATGTAGCCTTTGTTTCTGCTAAAAGAGGTGTCGACCAGCTGGGGCAACAAGAAAATCGGCGAAATCGAGTGTGACTATTAAAAAATAAATCATTATTATATTAATATTGACAATAACAACCGACCGTCATGGTAGAGCATTTGCTTGGCATTTCCGGGTATTTCTCTACTGGTTGGGCCATGTTAACAATACCGTGTAACTGTCACGTTTGAAGGGACGAAATCGTGACATCTTCACGTCTCCCAGCATGGTAAATCGTCACATGCTCACGTCTTGCCGTGATACCGGGTTGCATACATTAGTATGCATTGATGTTGAAGTACTTAGGCTACACCACATTTCGGGTCCCGGGGGGGGCGATTTCCGCCAAAGATTTGGAAATTGGTCCGTGCGCAAAGCATTGTGGGAATTTTAAGACCGCGGAGTCTACACATGTGCAGCCTCGAAATGTCTCGTTACGAAGTACGCCGGCCTCGGTAGAATTCCAAGTATGCTGGACATTGGAACAGTCCTTCGGCGGCACTCGATGACGTAGTATGCTTCAGATAGTGAGAGGGGTCTGCCTGCAGGCCTCCACTCTCAGGACAGTTCCGGTGTAGGCTCCACTGTCAGGACACCTCCACTCTCAGTACAGGAAGTGACGATTCTGATGAACACGTTTTTTTCCCTGCCCCCCGAAGGACTCGTCTGATGGAAGTTTTCAAATCACAATGGAGACTCATCACGGAGGTGATGAGTCCGCTCATCATGCACTTTGGGTCGGCCTTGGTCAAGTACTTTTGACCCCCCCAGCCTGGTTCTCGTAAAAGTTGACATTTTTCGCTCAAATGACACAATGGAGGAATGTAACGGGAGTTGACAGGGGACTCTGCCCGCCTCACGAGTGCCTATTTTTTTTTGTGTGGCTATTTCACCCAGTTCCTTCTACCGGGGACACTGCCTGGTCTCGGGTGTCCCCCCCCGGCCTGTGTCCAGCCGTTTCCCCCCCCCCACTCATCCATATATTAACGGATTTTGACAATTTCTGTTGCATTTTTCTCCTCTCCTCTCACAGATCGAATGGCAAACGCGACCCACCATCGGAGGGCCTCCACCGGCCCGGCCTAGTGCCGGTGCTCTGGCGGTCGGTTCCTCCGAACTGTGGGTTCGACTCTGATGGCCGGGAGGGTGTGCTGCGTTGGGGTGGGTGGAGTTTCCCGGCTGGAACCTCCCCACCTCCGCCGCGGTGCACCCGGCAAACACGGTTGTTTCTCGAACCCTCCACTGTTGTCTAGCGGTGTAACAAAATAGAAGATGTCGTTATTTATATATATAAATATATATAGATATAATAAGTGGTCAGTGGCGATTTTATTTGTATTAAGCGTGCCAAATTTTTCCTGTTCGGAAAGTGGTGCTGTACTGAGAGTAACAATACAAGGTGTCCTATTTTTATATATATATATATATATATATATATAAAGATACATATATATATATAATTATTACAATTATTATATATCATATATATAGGTATTATGAGACTAGAGAGAAGATACAGAGGGGAGATAGAGAGATATAGAGAAATAGAGATAGAGGGATATAGATAGATATAGAGAGAGATAGATAGAGAGATATACATAGAGAGACAGAGGGATAGAGAGAAGATGGGATAGATATATATATGATATATATATATATATAGAGATATAGATATATATATAGATATAATATATAGATATATACAGAGGTATATAGATAGAGACATAGTAATATATATATACATATGTATATATACATATGTATAGATATTATACATATGTATATATATATATACATATGGTATATATATATAGATAGATATATGTATAGATAGATATACATAGTATAGAGAGATATATATATATATATATATAATATATATATATACATATGTATATATATAGATATACATATGTTATATATATATATAGATATATATATATACAGATATATATATATATATATATATATATACATAGTATATATATATATATATATCTCTATCCCTCTCTCTCTATATATATATAAGTGTCAGTACGATTTTATTTTGTATTTGCGTGCATTTCCTGTTCGGAAAGTGGCGCTGTACTGATAGTGGCGATTTTATTTTGTAATTCTTAGCGTGCATGCACTTCCTGTCCTGAGAGTGGAGGTGTCCTCAGAGTGGAGGTGTCCTGAGACTGGCGCCTGCAGGCAGGCTCCCATGGAAATAGTGTCTCTGGAGCAGCCTTCCTCGACATTGAGAAACACCCCCAGTGTATCCTCGATTATAGCTCCTCCAGAGAGCCTCCTCGATGCTCGGTCCTCGATGTGCATTTAGAGAAATGAGATGTCCTTCAACATGGCGCGCTGAAATCCATTTCTGGGTCACTACCGGAGGACCGAGAAGTCGAGGAGGGGAAATTCGAGAATTGAGAAGCCTTCTGTGTGTGTAAAAAGACGATCCACAAGCAGAGATTTGAGATCCACAAGCAGAGATTTGAGATCCACAAGCGCATTTTTGGTTGACAAATACTAAATAGATTCACACTTGCCTGATCGAAAGTTGTCAATGTTAAAGGTCCCATGTCGTGGCCATTTCCACTGATCATAATTCCATTATTGAGGTATACTAAAATAGATTTATACTGTGCAATTTTCCAAACTCACATTGGTTTCGCATACAGCATCTCTGTAAAGTATGTGTATTCACCGGTATTAACTCTCTGTCCTAAACGGCTCTTTGGAGCTCTTGCCCCCCCCCCCCTCCCTGTGAGCCCAGTGTGCTCCGATTGGTCAGCTCGGCCACTCTGTTCTGATTAGTCAACCACCAAAGAGGCTCCGCCCATGTCTAACAGTGCTTTTTTCGGCTCGCTCTGAGCGGAACATCAGTGTCTTACAATGGCGTCGGTACAGCCGTATATGTTATACGCTAACTAACCGAACTGTACCTACAACTGTTGTTATAGAAGAGTAAGTTATTTTTACATGTAATAAACTACTACTGTTTGATTAAAAATCTAATCATGGTTTGCTATATATGAATGATATGTTATAGGAGCAAATAATTCAGGGAAGAAAGGCTACTAAGTATTTCCATCAAACTTTATTTTTAGAAATGTACAAAATGAATATGTGTAAATATACATAAATACACTGTATATCATCCTTTCCTCCCCTTATAGGCGTTTTCGGCATCTTGCCTATCAGGTGTACTTTGAGGGTTTTTGACTCTGCAGACCGTTTACATGCATAAAAACCTTCATAACACACAAGGGGACGGGTAATAACCGGAAAAGCATGACATGGGACCTTTAAAGAGATATTCACAAATTCCTTTCGTTTATTTGTAAATTAATTGTATTCACAGATCTTTTTTTTATTTGTGAAAATATTTTGCGTATTTGCAGATCTGTTTTACATTTGCACATTTATTTGTGAGTTTGCAAATCTTTTAAATGCATTTGTGGATAGTATTTTTCATTTACAAATCACATATTTACACACAAATTATTTTTATGTTCACACAAATATTTATGAGACAAATCTAAGCCCATAAATACGCTTAATTAAATAAAACTGATCTGCACAAGCGAAGTCTCGCAGTGTGTCGAGCAGGGGTCGCTCTGGGCCGGCGAAGTTCGTTTTCCCATGATGCACCTGTGTTTCCTTTCTATCTCGCGCCTTTGCTCGCGCAGACCATCTTGCCTCTCAGATCCTCAGATTGCTGCTGTCAGCCGCTGCCAGCTCCGTGTTGTTGTAGTAAATAATGGCGGCATCGGGAGGAGGATTATCCCCTCCCGCTACCGTGGCGGGCTTGAGCATCCAAGCGCCGGCTCGGGCTCGCTTCCCGGGTCGGCCGTGCACGGTTCGCAGCAGGCTGCGCTCGGAGAAACGTATCAAATGCGGAAGGTTGGGCTCGGACGACGGGGATCTGGCTTCCGAAGGGCCGAGGCCCGTAAACATCGGCCTGGCGTTGAGCGAGGACCCGGCCCTGCTGCGCCTGCTCGGGGTGTGGGAGAAGCACAGCAGGCAGAGAGATGCGGGCTTCATGTCCAGTGAAGAGGAGGTGAATAAGCTAACTGTAGCCCGTCAGCTAGATGTGTAACAAAGGGTTTAACGGGGTGCATAAAGCCAGTTTGTTCAAATAACGATATTAGAATTAAATTATGTGTTACTTACAAAAAGTATTTAGGCTAACGTAGAGCTAGTTAGCCGTAACTTGGATAGCAAACAGTAACCCAAAATAGGCATTATGCTAGCCGTCTGCCTGCAGGGTATGCTTAAGATTGGTTGAGTATATTATAATTATATTGTACAAAATATGAATTATGTCTTTTGACATAAATAAATGGTGATATTATTGCTGTAAGTTGCAACAGCCATACATACACAGATATCAGCGTCAGTCCAGCTGAGTTTGTTTGCATGATAAGAGCATTAGGCGGAAACTTTGGCGGTATGATGACAATCGTGAATGAGTGTTGTTGTTGAAACCACTAAATGTCTTTGTGTATTCATCCCCTGACGCGCTTTGTTGAGTTGAATTTCCCACTCTGTGCTGACATACACAGGCGGCTTATCTTGTCGTATTTAACGTTGCAGCTGCTTGATCTGGGTTCACACTCTCCACGTTGTAGCTGTCAGCTGACTGCTCGGTGTTTTGAAAGTGATGCAAAGGGGACGCAAACAGAAAAATCACCTAGATTTGAATCATTAAAAAACATTGGACCACACTGAACAATCTTAAACCTTTCTTAAACTTAATTCTGCACTGCCCTTTGTTTATAAACATTTATCAAGCCCATCATGACTCTCCCTTTTGATAATTGATGTTTTTTTAGAGGTAAAGTTAAAGAGTAATCAAACTTCTTCTCTTTATAAGATCACTCTATTTAAAATAGCAGGAGTTTTAGTTGATGGCCTGCAAGCTACAAGAAAGCATGGAGTTAATGCAAAGTGCCATCTGCTAAAATCAAGTCTGGCTGATTGACATGGATGAGAGGGGGCAATAGCACTGAGGTAGAAATCGTGTTGGGAGAGATTTATTTAGTTTTTCATTTGATTATTAATCATATTTAGGCTTTGTGGACATTCAGGGTTTAGCCTCACTGGGCCTTTATAAATAAACAAGCTTAAACAGTCTTTTGATGCTTTTTATGCACTCTGGCCTTATTTAGATTAAAAATGCAAAAGCAATTCCTGTCAGGAATCTATTTCTTTTTCATGTGAATATTTTTGTTATTTGTGGAACGGTGAAAAACGTCCCCACCTTTGACAACACATTTAGCTTTCTTGTCGGTGTGCTGCTCTTGTTGTTCTGCGTTTAATGGCGGATCACAAAACAAATGTTACAGGTGCATACCGCCACCCACTAAATAATACAAACACATGTACCATTATCACCCAATAAAAAGTGTTTGGTGTATACAATGCATCCTTAGTAAGACCTGGATTCATTCATAATGAAACAAAATATTTTACGACAAACAAAAGAGGAATACACCACAGTATTTATATTATCTGTGTTTGTTCACAGAAGCAAGTGTCTTACATTTCATTCACATCAAGGGTGGTCTCCTTGTAGCTCCGTCCAGACAGGATCCGGGTTGATTATGGTATCATGCCAAATTTGTATCTAATCATATTATTTAATCCAGAGCAGGGGCTTTAGTGTCTGACATCAGTCGGACTTCACTGATGCAATCCCTTTAGAGTGGACTGTAACAGTCACATGGCCCGTGCTTAAGCTTGTGGGTGCTGTTCAACTGGAGAACCACACGTCACCTAGTGCCACACACTCATGTGCTCCTCAAGGGTTTGGAATATATATCAGTGGGAAGATTTCATATCTGACAGATCTATGGAGATGTTATTATATTGCACAGGAAGATGGATGTGAGAGATATGGAATCGGGTCAAAGCGTGATTTTGATCTGCTGTAGTATCTAATCTTTGCATCTCAGGTAGAGGCGTGAATGAGGGGTTGCTGCACGCTGACTGTTCCAACGATCTACTTAAATATTTGTGGCGATATAAATGATTCTGTATTACCCAGTATTCTGCTTGATCAAAATCTCTATTAGGGGAGAAATGGTTAAAAAAAGCCTGCTTTTTATTCGAATGTAGCTTCAATTCAATTCAATTCAAAACCTTTATTTATCCAGTTGAAATCCCATTGAGATCAATGATCTCTTTTTCAAGGGAGACCTGCTGCAGTAGGTTCCACATGAAGACATAAAAACATAAACAACAGAACAACAAAAGGACATCATACAGCAAAAATTACAGGGATTACAATTTACATAGCTATCCACATGTACAGGTACCAACAGCATCTGATGGTGTAGCGTCCAACCGAGCTTTAAAAACATGTAGTGGTACCAGATTGGTAATTTTCCATTCTTTTTGCAGACTGTTCCAAGTTAGTGGAGCTGCACATCTAAAAGCTTTCTTCCCTTGAGTGTAACACTGTGTATAACTACCATTATCAATCATGCACATGCAGAGAATCGGCTGAGTTATTTCTTAAAGTGAATTTACAGATTGAAACACCAGCACTGTTCTGATGCAACTCTGGAGTAAGACTGATGGTGCTGTGGCAAAAATTGCCCACACAATTCCATTTGTATTTTTTACCATTTTCTCTTTTTGATTCCTTATGGCACAATGAGGTGATAAATATGCATGTAATCTGGTTTTACTTTCACAATGAAAACAGCAATAATTACAAGTGACCTGGAAAATGTTCAAATGTTAAGATTTCTTTGACATTTTGGTTAAAAGTTGGCCCTTAAATTTTGTTTTATTTGTCACACTGATGGTGTGTAGGTCAGTCTAACGCCTAATGTAAAAACAAGTTATCTGAAGCAAACCTATTTTATTTTCAACATGTCTAAATGTATTATGTCAATTTAATGGTTGTACTTTCTTTCTTCTTCAGGAGGACGTTTTCACTGGATTTGGGACCACCACAGCTAGTCCACAGAAAACTCCTAGGTCGTCTTTACTCAGCCGAGCAAAGCTTCCCCCAGCTTCAGTCCGCTCTCTGGAAGCAAAGCCTCTATTAGGAAAGATTATACCTAAGAGTCCAAAATCGTCTCTTATTGGAAAAATTGTATCCAGAGTTCCTAAAGAAGACCATGGTTTCATAGAGAGCCCATCTAAAGACCAAGATATACCCAAGGTGCTGATTAAACTGCACGGCAAGCAGGTAGCTCCTACTGTAGTAGCCAAACATGCTGGCGCGCAGGCCTCAGATAGACAGAGCCGTACAAGAGCAGCAGGCTTTATTAGGAGAGCAGGAAAATCAGCATACTCGCGCAACATGCAAAACCAAACAGCCGCTACCTCAGCTGGTGGCACCAGGCAAGCTTCCAAGGTCAAAGAACCAGGCGAGGTGTCTGAGGATTCAGACACGGACCAATCTCAGCCACAGATATCTGTGAAACGCATGATTGGGCACACCAGACGCACCTCCCAAGCAGCAGCTCTGTCGTTCACATCCTTTCAGAAACGGCAGAGGAAGAGAACGGCTAAGGGTATGGGTGCCTCTCCAGAGGCCGGAGCTGAGGCCCAGAGTGGAGACGAAGCAGCAATGCCACTCGAGTGTAAAGCCACAGATTCCCCTGAAAAAGGAATACTCAAAAGGAAACACAAATCTCTGTATGGGCACAAGCGAAAGCCGAAGCCAAACGCTTCGCCAGAAGTTAGACGTCCGAAAGTTCGTCGTAATCGAACTAGGCATGTTTTTTACACCTATGTAACGGAGCCCATTCCAGCCCCACTGACTCCGGGTGGGAACCAGCAGCAGATGCAGAGTCAGAGTATCACCCCATCTGAGGGTGACCCCAACACCTCCACTACTGTAACGAGTGGACGGTCCTCCCGCGTCATCAAAACTCCAAAGAGGTTCCTGGACGAGGAAATGATCCCCTTTCCGAAGGGTTCTCTGGCAACATGGCAGAAAAGTCAACAGAGAGAGGATGGAAAACCAAGTCCATCATACCATGACTCGAGTTATGATGGCAACTCGCTGCAGTCAGACTGTGACTCTACATCTGTGACCGACAGCCCGTCTGCAAAGTTCCCATCAAAGCCCAGGCCAGGCACGAGCCACCTCGAGATTTACAAGAACCTTAAGAAACTGACCTTGAAACTGGCGGAGAAAAAGAAAGGCCACTCAGACACTGAAGGGAGCTATCAACAAAGTGGCGACGGGTTGACCTCTCACGTCAGGAAGAAGCGGCGCTCGAAGCTCATGATGGAGGAGATGGATGCGCCGGGTGTTGTCAGGAAACTAGCCGTGTTGGTGAACGCTGATATGGCAGCCCCCTCAAGTACGCCGTCAGGAGATACAGGCAGCAACAGTAAGAATTTGTTTGTGTTATTATTTAGAGAGATCTTGTTTTTACAGAAGCTCAAACATTACAGCACTCATTTGTGAAATGTATATATTAAAAGATTTACCTGAGAATGAAACAAATCTCTAGGCCTGAAAATAGAATCCATGCATAGGCTATGTGTTTTCAGTAGTTTGTGTGCAGTGATGATGTGTCTGGTTGTACACAATCTTACCAGAGTTGCTTTATTAATGTATTTAGCTACAGATGAAGCGGGAGGCGTCCCCGGGGAGAGCAATGAGGCGGTGGAAGTCAGTGGTCCCAGCTATCGCATTGGTCTCAGTGGAGCTAATAAGACTATGCTCCACCTGCTGAAGAAAGCCAAAGTCCAGCTCATCAAAATTGATCAGCAGAAGCAGCTAAAGATGTCGCAGGTAAGAACCGAAGATCAAGTCTTTGCAGAAGTAGGAAGGAAGATTTAAAACATTCAGATTTGGATACCCTTCTTGAGTTGCATGCAGGCTCATTTGAATATACTTCTCCTCATCTGAGTACTTTAACCCAATTTTTATCTGAGTACACTGGCCTTTATTGCAGGAGGGAATTTCAGACAGGTTGAATAGAGATACATTTTGATTTTAAGAATCTGAAATTGAGCATAATATGTCCCCATTTAAATCAATCTTCCCTAACTTTTTATACTATGGATAGTTCAAAAGCCACTAAAATCCCTAAGGCTGAAATTATATGTCAATGATGTGGTTTTCAGGCTCTCAAAATTAGAATTTTGGAAATGTAAATGTTGTAGCATGTCTAACATGGAACCTTGATTTTCCCTCCTCGGCTGGGCCGACAGTTGGGCTCAGGAGAATCACGAGTGCCAGTGACGAGAAGGAGGAGGAGGAGGAGAGTTGGCTTATCTCCCAAAGATAAAAGTTCTGAGGTAATAAATTAAACATATTAATGTCATGTCATATCTGATTTGCTGGTGAGGTTCCCCTTTACAGAATATTTGTGAGTGCTTCAAATTAATCATACAGTGCTATAAACCTTTAACATAGTATAACGTTTATTTTACATTAGGAAAGGGTTGCTAAATGTGTTGTTAACCTTTGCACTTCACAATGGGAACTGTATCCAGGGTGCGTACGGGTGCTGGAAATCCTTGAAAATGCTTGAAATTGTACGAGGTGTTTTCAAGGTTTGAAAAGTGCTTGAATTTTGGGAATGGTGCTTGAATTTGGGATAAAGTGCTTGAAATTGTAAATGCTTTACTTCGCTTTTTAGATTAAAAGAAAATAAAGAAGTCGGAGCGCGCTTAATTGCTTCGCTTTTACATAAAACAGCTCCGCTCCGGCCTTCCCGCGCAATGCGCGTGACCGGCAAGTGTTTTTGTTACGTGTGTGAGTGACCTGGGCATTCTGATGAGAGTGATAGATGACAGTATGCCAGGAGGTTGCCGTTTCAACGAGCGTTGGCTAGCAGAAGACAAATACAAGCCATGGCTAAGACGAGGGTCAAGCGAAGCCCAAGAGTAGCCTCCTGCAAAGTGTGCAACAATAACGATGCGAGAGTCTGCGCTGACGAGCCACACACCACACGAAAGGTACGCCATAGTAGAGCATTTTAGATTAGGCTATCGTTGCATGTAAAATACATGACACTTTTCTCTGTGCGTGGCAAAACAAGCTCGCCAAAATGGCTTCACTAGTCTGGCAGTATTTTAAGTGTCCGAAAATGACAATAAAATAGCGGTATGCAACGTGTGTGTGAAGCAGAAATCCTGCAGCTCCACCCGCTGTGACGGACCGGTGAGCGGAGCAAAACACACATTAAGAGTTAGACCTAACACACTTAGCTATTTTATCTACCTCTGGAACAAGCTAAACTAGTTATAAATATATTTATTCTTCACTGTCGGGTCGCTCATTACTGGATCAGTGAGCTGCAGGAGATACTGACGGGCTGTCAGGAGAGAGAGAGAGAGGGGGAGAGAGCGATATCGGTATCGGCCGATACTGATTCCGGCGATCGGCTCCAAAATTGGCGATCGGAGCATCCCTAATAATTGTATATGATATGTTTTATAATGATTGATCATGAAAGTGTTATCAAAGCTGGTAAAGTTGCAGCTAGTTTGAATGACTTTGTATACTACAGAGTAGCTTGTGAATTTACTCCAGGTGGAACTAAAGTCTGATTTAACACTTGATTATATTTCACATCATTCATCCACATCTGTGAAGTAACTAAAGGTATTAATACATGTAGTGGAGTCAAAGTACACCATTTACCTCTGACTTGTGTTTACTGCCAACCTAAAAGTACCTCAAAAATAGTAATCAATAATATATTGAAAAGTTATTTGGCTGATTGTTTTATATTGGCTCAGCCAGGTTATATGGGATGCCCAGTCTACGTACAGATGGGTCACTCATTTTGAAATATTAAACTTAGTTTTCTTTTCTAACATTTTTAATTTTTCATCGTCATGTAGAATGCTATTATGAAACACACATTTGGTTGTTTATAGCATAAAGAACATCTGATTTAATGTGAGGTAGGGAAATAATCATTTGAGTATAAGTATGTGTATATAAATATGTAATTTACAACAGCTGTAAGATGCTTGAAAAGCTTGAAAATGCACCTTGAAAATGCTTGAAAAGTGCTTGAATTTGACTTTGGAAAAGGTGTAAGAACCCTGTGTATCCTACTGTGAGTTTAATGTCAGATGAGATTTCATAGTGAGATGTTGCCAATATCTGTTTACAAACATTTCTGCATTTTAAATTTTTCTTGGTTTGTGTTCAGGAGCAGCCGCTAGGTGGGCCGAGGATCAAACATGTGTGTCGGGCAGCAGCGGTGGCTCTGGGTCAGCCCCGCGCCTTGGTGCCAGACGATATCCCCCGACTCAGCGCCCTGCCGCTCCACGAGAGAGAGGGCATCACCTTTTCTCCCGCAGCAGAAGGTACAATGCAAACACATGTGATGTTTTTAGGTAAAATGCAGAAATGATCTTCACTTCGTCTTTATAAGAGATGGTACATTTTGCATTGCACTATGTATGTGCAATGATTTGGATTTGAACAAGCAAGAAACTGATGTTTTCACTTGGTGCTGTTGTTGTGATGATGATGATCACATGAAGGAATAAAAGCAGCCAATAGATGGTTAACTGATCTTCCCTGCTAAGGAACTGGTTGAACTTGTCCAGAAACTGACACAAAGGCAATAAGGGAATCAATCATTTTAGTAACTGCAGGACATGAAAAGTCTTAAAGCATTCATATTTTAATTCTGCACAAGAAGGTCTGAAATGATTGGAGTTGTGGTTGCCTGTTGTTGGCAGTGATGGTTTTTCTTTCAGATTGTTGGCTGTTACACACTTTTATATTGAAGGGAGGATTGTTGTGAAACCGGATTGTTCCTCGGATCACTGGATTGGCTGAACATCAATGTCATCAATCAATGATTATTTATATAGCCCAATATCACAAATGTTACATTTGTCTCAGTGGACTTCACAGTTTGTACAGAATATCAATATAACAATACGACACCCTCTGTCCTTAGACCCTCACATCGTACAAGGAAAAACTTCCAGAGAAACCCCACAGTTTAATGGGAAAAAATGGGAGAAACCTCATGGAGAGCAACAGAGGAGGGATCCCTCTCCCAGGACGGACAGACGTGCAATAGATGCCGTGTGTAAATGATAATTGAACATAATTGAATTATTGTTTACATTTGAAGCTTCTATCAGGGTTTTCTAATGAAGCTTCATCATTTATTAATAATTTGTGTTGCTGTCACCCAAAGTGTGCAGCATGAATTGTTGCTACAGTTGTTGCTAGGACCATGGGATAATTGTGATTTCCACTTTATTCATAGATTGATTGTAAAGAAATTGATTGACTTGAGACGGTATATAGCCATGCTCTCAGGTAGGTCAACTGTTTTTCAATTCAATTTCTCCTATTTGCTTCATAAGCGTTGTCCAAACCTAAATACATTTCTGCCAGTTTCTGTTTGGCAAAGCTGATCTGCTAAAGTACTATACTGAAAACTTCACCAGCTAAAAATATTCTCTCAAACTTAAGCTTCTGCAGTTATAACAACAACGTAAAATTTATTATTTCTTAAAAGAGCACAATATTTCTAGCTTTTGGCAAACGTTACCTGCTGAGCACAAAAAAAACAAAAAACTGCTTTGTTAGCTAAATGTAGTTGTAAATAAGATATTTGCCAGCAAAAATATCTTTTGTCACACACAGATTAGCCACCGCTGTTGGAAAGCTTTACCCAACACTGGTCGAGTGAGCATCACTCAGTATGAGGTGAGGAAGTGCCGTTTGACAAGTAGACTCACTGCCCTGCACTTTGTCTCCTGAAGAACACATCTAGTGCTAATGGGAAACAGATATCCTTCCACAATGTAAATCCAGCTTTATTATTCACTTAAAATTATGTAATTTATTTTCCGTTTGAAGTTGCTCTGTGCCAGATGACATTAACACCACTGGGGGATGCCAGAGGTTGTCAAAGGAATTAGTAGTTTTCAAATCTCAAAAGGTCAGGTAGGAGGATTTCTACCAACAATGGATTTGTCAGAGACTCTACCAGCCACCTAACTTTATTCTAAAGTGACTCTTTCTTATTCCAACACTTTAGCAATGAGTACCTTTAGAAACCAGACGACAAAAGAAAATGTGTATATACTGTAACACATTCAATCACAGCATTTAGACCTGTGATGCCTCATCAACACTCAATAGTATTTGGCATCCAAAGATGTCGCCCCTACACACATGCACTGAATATTTAAACTGTATATTGTGGCTCTTTTACCCATCCTCTCTGTCTCTTGCTTGCAGATGTGGCCGATGATGACGATGAGATGCCTGATCCGGGCCGGGATCAGTGGTTTGTCACTCAGGATCACATCCAGAGGAGGAGGAGGATGGGCAGGGGGAGGGGGAGGGGCCAAATGTTCAGGAAGAAGAAGAAGGCGGCCCAGGGTCAATATGCCATTGGGGGAGTCCGCTCCCGGCGCTGTGGATGCTGCGAGGGCTGTTTGATAGAGGAGGACTGCGCAGAGTGCACCAACTGCCTCGATAAGCCCAAGTTCGGGGGGCCCAACACCAAGCGGCAGTGTTGCGTGTAAGTTAGACTAATCAGGTTATTACATTCACGGAGAGGGCTGTTGACATTTTAGCAAATCTTTTATGGACATTGGAACAGAAGGCTATCAAGAGATGGCAGCAAAATATATTAACTATTCAAATATGGTGATCTCAAGTTTTGCATACTTGAAGAAATGCTTGAATACTGAACCATTTTAATGCTAGTTATCTAACTCTGATGTCACCTATGAAGACAAATAGGAAACATATTCTTTATTATAGTAAAGAGTGTTTTACCAAATTCTAATATATTGCAGTTAATGGTGCCTACAATACTGTTTACCCTTTAGGTTAAAAACAAACCTATTTATGATTCATCTATTTATGATTCATCTACACATTTTTGGAGATGAATCATAAATAAACATTCCAATAAAACATTCTGATCAGTCAGATAATGAAAGGGAGCACACTTTTAACAACATTCAAAGATGTCTACCACTTACATTTACTCAGTTTTAATCATGTATATAATTACCTTTTACTGTTTCTTCTTCCTCAGATATAGGAAGTGTGATCGGATTGAGAAAGCGAAGATGGATCGCGTCATCAAACCATTGAAACGTATGTCTCCAAGTCTCTAATTTAATAAAGAGCCTGCAATAATTGTATCCGTACATTTTCAAATGTGTTGCTGTAATTAATTTTCTTGAAAATATTCAACAACATATCAAAAATATTTTGCTCAAAATGAATCAAGGGGCTCCCTTTTTTCTCAGTCAAGGCAAGGCATTTCCTCCGCCCCGTGTCAGGCAGTGAGGATACGAGCTGGAAATCTAGAGTCACAGCCGAGGGATCGTCATCGAAGGCGCCTGGCCTCAGGAAACATTCTCTACGTAACATCACGCCCCGCTCCTACAGCAGCCTGCTGAAGTCTGAATCTGAGGATGAGGAGGGAGTAGAAGAAAAGTACAAGGCTGATAAATTGCCAGTTAAGACAGCTGTAGCCTCTGATAACAAGCAAGGTAACTGAAGCTTAGGTTTTGTTTTGAAGTTTTATGAGAAGTTAGGACCAAACATCACCACAGTCGAATCAGAATTGTGTCTTAGATCTGTTTCTTCTTTTGGAGGTCTCGTTCCTCAAGATGGAGGAACGCTACCAGGCGACCCTCCGACTGAGATGCCGAAGCCTCGCCGGCTGTTCTCCAGAGGACCCGGGACCAAACCCAGAGCTAACAAGGTAAAAACATCCAGCAGATTTCCCTCCTTGGTGATCCACCTGATCAAACCTGGGGCAAAAATGTTACATTTCCAAATAAGTGGAGTAAAAATGTAAAGATAAAAAAACGAAACAGTCTGTATTTATGATAATTTATTCCTCAATCAAATTGTTGTTGGTTTAAATTAAACACTTAACTGACTGTGAATATTCATGTTGATAAAAAGACCATACATATTTCGAAGTAACACTTTGCCCAGGTCTGCATCTCACTTTCATTTGTTACCAATTTTAATTATTGAATCTTTGTTGGGATGAGTGAATCTACTTTTCAAATTCAACTGTGCTAATTTTCTGTTTCTGACTTTTAAGTTTCTCCTTCATATTAAACACCTTGCATGTGCTTAACCTTATGTTTTATAAATGATATATGAGTCAAGCTGTGCTCATATAAAAAGGCTGCCTATTTACCATCCAGTTTTGAAATGTAATCTGTATCTTAAAGGTCCAGTATGCAGGATTATGATAGCAACCGACTAAATAGCACGCAATGTTTAGTGTCAGGTGATTATACACTATTGGTAACATAATATATATTATAGTCCATTTCTGCCCTAAGTCTTACACACGGGACCATTCAACGCTATGGCATGGGTTGTTTACATGGGTTAAATTAATGACCTTGCATCTTAATGTGTCAGCATTAAATACACAAACTTCCAACCACATTAGCTGAATGTTATCACACAGAATAAGATATTTTTTTAATGAAAGTAGCACCACTTGAAATTGGTTACAATAAACACAATATTTATCTTATATATTTAACTTGAGCTGAAGTAAAAGAATGCATCTTGGCTGTGCTGCCTGACTCTTTGCTTGCTTTCGTGAGTTTGATTTAATCAATTCACATTCTGATCTTATTAGGAACAGCTTGCTCTTGTCTTGAAAGAATTGCACATTACTTTTGGCTTGTCTTTCACCTTTTGAGATTCTAATGGCTTAAGTCTTCTGACATTCTTCATGAGAAATGTCTCTTTTATTATGTATAGTCGCTGCTTTCAATTGCTGAGCTAATCTCACTCTCTATTTGTTAATTGGTTTTACTGGTTTTTGTCGAAGTACCATGTACCCATGCATACGCACCTAAAAACCTCTTCATACATTTCACAATTGGAAAAATGTCGGCGACTGCCTGCTGCTCTTCATTGATGATTGACTCAATCCAGTCACTCCATCTTCCTCCTCCTTCACACACCAGCAACAAAGGAAGCCACCATATTTTGAAGACGAGAATAAAGAGGTAGCAAGTTCACAAAATCAACCACATGTGGTGTGACATCGTAAACACCCAATTAGCTTTTGTTGGCTGCAGATTTGTTTGTTCACAAATTGTTATATTTCGTCAGATAACCTGCATACATGAAATCACTCATGCACTTTGAAAAATGTAGACATACATGAAGGCTCTAATGGATGCTTTTTTTTCTATTAAGGTTTGTAAAAAGCTTTTGAATGTCTGTCGTCATACTGCATATTGCACAGGGAACAAAGACAACCCCTCTACTGAAGCTACAACACTGGAGAACTCTCTTTGTTTGTGTCAAAATCAGTACCAAATCCTACTTTATTTTTCTCTTGCTCTTTTTAAATCGGTATCAACCTCAAATCTACGTGTCCAGGTGAGGTCATAGGGAGGTATAAATCTATAAATCAAGTGTCTGTTTTAAATAGATCAATAGTTACATCAAGGTAAATTAACTTATCATATATTCTCGTACTGTCTGCCTATTTGCATGGCACAGCTTACACACCTAAATGCTTGCAAAACATGAAAAGTTATTGGAGAATATAGCTTATAAAAATGGTTTTATGATTCTGGAGACTTGCACACTTTACTTATCTAGTTCTTCTACTTTGAGCTTCTGGGTTATCTTTTCTGCTGCGGAATGCATTTGCTGAATCTTCTTTACCTTTTCTTACTTGTCATTCCTGCCTAGTGTTGTTATTGCACTTCTTTTCTGTCACTTTGGCTGCTGCCAGTCGCCACCTCTGCATGTCACTAGTATTCGTATCACTGTGGAACCTGTCGTGCTGGTTGGCTTAGGCAGTGCCCTCCTCCACAGGAACAGGAGAACACGGAGCCGATGGAGTCCAGAGACACTTTACCAGAAACCAGCCCATCCAGAAGCCCAAAGCCGAAGCTGCAGCGGCAGCTACAAATACACTTACACCGCCTGCCTGATAATACCCTGCAGTCCGCTCTGTTTTTGCTAAAGCAGCGCCCCCAGTGTCCGGATGTTGGTGCTGCAAAGTCACCTCCGATATTGACCCAGCTAATGATGCAGCCTGCTATTTCACATTCCACACCGCAGTGCTCTCCAGAACTTCCCCAGCCTGTAACACATCCCGCTTCTCCACCTTCCCCAGCATCCCCGCATCCCATAACAGACCCCTCACAGAAATTTGTGTCGTTACGATTGCACCGCTTGCCTAAGACTCTGGTGGAATCATCCTTGCATTTGCACAAAATTATCCCATCATCTCAAGAACAACAACAAGAACCCCAGTCCACACTGCAGTCAGCTGTGACAGAGGTTTCGTCAAAGTTGTGTTTTCAGGAACATCCAGAGTCTGAGGTGCAGCCCCCGGATGTTTTGCACAGAGCTAACAAAGATAAAACTGTTCAAGTGCTCCCTCAGACCGTCCATCCACACACAGAGTTACAGGAGGGCCAGCTAAAGGAGCGGGAGGACAGGCCAGTGGATCAGCCTCAAACGGAGGAGGAGGACGGTTCTGTAAAAACTGACACACACTATGTCCTTCGTTCCCAGAATCCTGCAGAGTGTGCATCAGGGAACAGCCTGACTGGGTTAACCAACGGTTTTCCCCAAAAAGGCCTGTTGCAGAACAAGTACAAGATTCGTGTGGACTTCAAGGTGAGTTTTTGCATACATTTTGGGTCATTTTATAGCATGAGGTGTACAACTTCACATTATTTTTTTCTTAATGACGAGCTGTTTAGGGAACAGAGTCTGAAATGACTAGTAAACTAATTCATTGGAAAGAAACTGCTTTGTCATTGGCTTTAAATTGCATTTTCTTCTAGCTTGAAAAGATGAACCACTAAATATTTTGTACTGCACTTGCCCTAATCCTGATATTAGAAATAAATAGGCCCTGAGACAGGTTATGGGAATATGAAGTAGATATTTTTTCTATACATTTGATTCATGAACTGATACTCAAAATGCACAAAATAAAAAAACTCATCATCTTTCCTCTTCCTTTTTCTTTTCTTTCCTTGTGTGTCCCAGGAAGACTGTGCTGTCCAGAACGTGTGGCTGATGGGCGGCCTGAGCGTCCTCACGTCCGTCCCCACCACCCCACAACCTGTCTGCCTGCTCTGCGCCAGTAAAGGACGACATGAGGTAATTCTTTACCAGAGCTTATAGAACAGGTATCATAGTTACCTATTAAAACACTGTTCTGAGAAATATAGCGGTTCGCTCAGTATTTCATATTTAATCTCCAATCTATGATGGCTTTAAGATCCCCTCCACTCATGTTTAATCTCTTAAGGTCTGACCTTGACTATGCCAAGTTGTATCTGTATCTAAAAATCTGAGATTTAAACATTAAAAAAAAAGCCAGAACTTATTGCTCCAGCGCATCATAATACATACAACTTGAGGTAGTGCGATCAGTGTTAGACGTAGGGATGGGTATCGTTTGAAATGTATCGATTCCGATTCCAGTTATCGATTCCGGTTCTTATCGATTCCCCGTTTCGATTCCAAAATTGTAAAAGAAAGAGGTCAAACGTTTAGATAACAAAAATATCTTTATTCTTTTAAGCTTTAACTGACATTTTTACAAATAAAAAAATAGACATGCAATACAAATGTATTGCACAATAGCTGTGCTTTCTTTTAACTGAGCAATGCCTGTGGCAAGGCATTACACTGTGCCTTGTCTTTTTCTTTTTTAGTGTAGTGGAGCCTCACTTTAGAGCGTTTACCGCGATCCATCTTTGGTGTTATGAAGTGACTGAGCTCGTGAACTGTCGCTGCGCGGCAACTGTGGACCTCTGTCGCCTGTCAGCGCAACTTACATGATGCCATTTAAAAAAATTAAGGGCGGTGCCGGCCGTCAACGGCCCGCTGACGACCCGCTGACGACCCGCTGACGACCCGCTGACGACCCGCTGACGACCCGCTGACGACCGGCCGTTCTGTGATTCTCCAGAACACACAGATAGCCAGTCTGCCGCTGGTATTCCACCGGGTCGCCGCGGCGCAGACGGACCCGGTGGAATACAGGGTCTACCGCGTTTAGGAACCGTTAAGCAGAACCGAAATTGTGTATTTTGTATGGGTACCCGGTACCCGGCATTTTCTTATCGGTTCTCATCTGGAACCGAGTTTCGGTTCCCAACCCTAGTTAGACGTGACGAGGCCGGATCAAGAATTTCTGGATGAGAGACTTTTTTTTATTTATGTGGGAAACCAAACCCATGCTTAAACAAATATTAATCATGGCATGTCTGGAGTTGGATTTTAGGTTGTTGTTTAGGTGTTCTGGTGCTCTGCAGTGCCAATAATAACACTATTGTTTCCTTCTTCCTTCAGATGATATTCTGCCAGATCTGCTGTGAGCCTTTCCACAGTTTCTGCCTCTCATCCGAGGAGCGCCCCCAGGAGGAGAACAAGGAGAACTGGTGCTGCAGGCGCTGCAAGTTCTGTCACGTGTGTGGCCGTCGAAGCAAGAGCACAAAGGTATGCGACCCTGCAGCCCTTAAAGGAAACCCTTTTTTCTAAAACATCTGTTTTATGTATTTATTTTCCTTGCTCAACATATTCCTTCAGTTCATACTGTAAATATAAAGACCCATTGGTAATATCCTTTAGTAGTGGGTACAAAACCAACAGTATTAGTTTTTATTAGTTGCCTTCCACACAAGCAATATGAATAATTTAAAATATTGTACATGCAAGTAGGCAATTCATTCTTGGAGTTTTTCCATCTATGGATTTCTTTAAAGAGAAATGTATATCAATCGTGTCTTCAGGTAACACGATCATTACCTTTTATACTGTTTTGGTTTTTACCTTCATATCTATTTCTTCTACTATGTTCTGAATTAACACGCTATGTTTTTCCAACTCCGATGCAAAATATACTATAGGATAATAGGTAGAATAATAGATCATATTGCTTTATTTAGATGATACTTTTTTTGACAGAGTTATGGCTTATGATGAGGTGCTAGTCAAACATTTATGCTATTTATTAACTTCATATTAAAGTACTTTTCTGTTTCCCCCCCCCCTCTAGCCAGTGTTGCAGTGCATGAGATGCCAAACCTCCTACCACCCCTCCTGCTTGGGACCAACCTACCCCAAACCTATGAACTGCAGCATGCCTTGGGTAATATACAAATAGATATTCATATTTCTATTCCTTTAAATGTTTTGGAGTGTCTAAGGGATGTTGAGAGATAAACCATAAAAAAAATGTGCCTTTTCATCGTGATCACTCCTATAGCCTCATGCTGGCTGTTTTGTGTTGTCTTTGTGCAGGTGTGCATGACATGCATTCGTTGTAAAAGCTGCGGCGTGACTCCTGGAAAGTCCTGGGACTTGGACTGGAACCACGAGCAGGATCTTTGTCCTGACTGCACTTCTCTCCACAAAAAAGGTAAGACCTCTTTAGTGTTTTAGCCATATTTTTAAGTGGCTATATGTTTGGAAAGCTCCCAGACTTAGCCACCAGGTAACCAAATGACCTGAATCTCTATGTGTGGCTCTAGCAATGGATGATGTCACTAATTATATGATCTGCGTCTCCATCAGGTAATTTCTGCACCGTCTGCAACACGTGCTACAACGCCAATGATCAACACACACAGATGATTAAGTGTTCGCAGTGCAGCCACTGGATCCATTACACATGTGAAGGACTTTCGGGTGAGTAACTCTGTTTATTTATTTATTCAATTCCAAAAATGATTCAGAGTTTTATATTACAAACACTAATTCATTTCTTGTTAGTTAGATAATCACCATGTTATGTTGCAGTATATATTATCATAGTTTCGTATGTATAATGAAACATAAGTTGTAATGTAAAAATAATACAAGTGCATGCTTTAACTTCAACTACAGCTTACTTATTTTAAAACCGAAATGAATAATAAATCTGTATAATAATGAACTCTGTGTCTGTTTGTCATGCAGATGAGCTGGTTGGGATGCTGTCGAGCCAAACGGAGAAAGTGTTTTTCAGCTGCTCCCCCTGCCGAGGGCAGCCGACTGAAGGCAGCAGCTTGAAGGTGGAGCTGCAGGGGAGGCTGGTGGACGGGCTGGAGGAGGTGCTCACTGACCTCCTCTCCCACAACACCACACAGCACCTCCTCAAGTGCAAAATGGTAAGAGCTTATCCACTGGACATTGCCTTTTTTCTTCAGTCATAATCATTCTTAATTTTTCTCTGAATGTGTGTATTAAGCTCAGGTTAAAAGTCTTACAGTTTCTTTTTTCTTTTCTTTTTTAAACATGTATTTATTGATTTTTTACATTTATCACATTACACAAACACAACCGAACATTTCCCCAACATTAGACATATGGCAGATTACAAAATAATGCGGTTAGTGTGCAGTTACTAGAAATCAGTTTAAAGTACAGACCAAGAATATAATTACATTTGCAAATTCAACAAAAATACAATAAAGGCACATCCACAAACAGAGCAGAGTATAGCTTACAATTCTCCAAATAGATCAACCATATTCAACATTTCCTCACAGTAGTTTAGTCTTTTCACTCTAACCTTCCATAGCTTCTGCAATGTCCCCATTTTTTTATAAATTCCCAAAACAATTCCCAAATGGAGTAAAATTCAGAAGCTTTCTTCCTTACTATATATGTGAGTTTCTCAAGAGCCAGACTCGAAGTTAAATTGTTAAACCAGTGGCCCAGGGAGGGGCAACCAACATTTTTCCAACACAAAGCAATTGAGCGCCTGGCTTGCAGGTTAACCATTTTTCTTTCCCTAACCGATAGCGAACAGTCTTCTTGATAAATGCTTAAAACACAAAGTTTAGGGCTTAAAGGTATTGGAGACGAGGTTATTTGGGAAATATATCTTGTCACCGAAGTCCAACATCTTTTCATTTCTACCCAATCCCACACACAATGATACAGGGTAAAGTCTTCCAGTTTCTTAAACAGAACAAGCACTGTTTCAAAAGACAATACCCCAAGATTCTAATACTTGACTTTAACACTGATAAACAAACATTTGTAACGCTTTCCTTCCCTTAAAATTCCTCAGTTTTGTTGTTGTTGCAAGGGTGTTATTGTTTTTTGGTTTTTTATATCTACCAGATGGCGGAATTATTCCTCTCATTGTCCTGTGGTTTCTGTGTTTCAGTGTCGGGAAACAAACAACACACAACTTATCAGGGAACAGCAACCAGTGTGTGATCTACAAGCCATGGAAAGCAAGTTTAAAGTGGGCGGATACAGCTCAATAGTGAGTATATTCTTACTGACAATCTACCAAGACGAGCCCTTCCTGTTTTAAATTCCTGTGCATGTACAAAAGCAGTCAGCAATAAATGAGAGTAGCAATGACATTTTCCTTTTTGGATATCTTCTGTTGTTAAATCCTCATGATTGAAGCCCTGACTTTCTTTCTTTCTCTCTTTCTTGCTCCTTCAGAAATCTTTCCATGCGGATGTTGTCTCTGTGATGAGGAAAGCGCTGAAGGAGGAGGAGCTTCTCCCCGAGGAGCTGAGACCCACCAGTCAGGCCGGGGAACGCTATGTCAAAGTAAGCTTTCCTCACAAATCTCCCACGGTATTAGTTTATTTTCAGAGATCAACGTTTCAAAATGTCCACTAGAAATCTAATAATTTGTATTCCTTTTTCCACATTAACATCTCTAGGAGGGGAACACATCTTATAGTCACAATCTTATATCTTTATGTCTATTCACTTAGGCTATTGGTGTAGCGATTTTTTCCTTTTTAATTCAATTTGTCTTCTTTTGTTCTTAAAATATGTGTTAGTTTCTCCATTTCTTTGTGTAGGGGAATCCTGTTCTACTATTTGCTTTCCTGCTATCAGCCAGCACAACCTTGACTGAGTACTTATTTTAGTACCGTTTCCTCTGTCAGATTACCAAGATTAAGTCACTGCTAAATTCCTCTGGGTTAACAGGCTGTCATTCAATTATTAGACCCAAAAAATAGCCAAGAAAAGACACCTCTACCTCAGAACATTACCCGTGATCTCACTTTAATTCTTATTTTCTTACAGGTCGTTGAGCAGATGTTCAGTTGGTTTCCTGCAAGCCAACTGAAAAAGTGGAACTTGTCATCTGGAGAATTACCAAGGTAAAAAAACAAGTAAAGTTTACACACATTAGTCTCTTAATATAAGGGTTTCAACTAACATCACTTTTTTATTATCGATTCATTTGCAGACTATGTTCACCTAGTCCAAAACCCCCCCAAAAGTTGGTTTGATATATAACAAATACACTTCTCTTTGTAGTGGCATGCTTCCTGAAGCAGTCCTCCCTCCATCTAAGGAGCACAGCTATGCGCAGTGGATGGAACGGACATACCAGCCCAAAGAGCCCAGGGGCCCACAGGCGGGGAAAACTGAGTCTGTGGTTTCCTCAGTCACGACACAGCAGTTTGGTGTCCCGCACAGCCGCACTCTGTATTCACATGGTATGTAAACTATTGTATTTGTATCATGTTTTATCAACCTTTTGACAACCAACTGTTGTTAATTTATGATAGGGAAGTATCATCTTTACAGGATTCTCACATGCAATTGCCAAAAAGGAGCTTTCTTTGTCATATTTCTGTAGTATCTGAAAAGTCAAGAGCTTAATCATGAATTAGTCTATAAACATAATAAGGAGAAACGTTTTAAATGTTAGTGAACATGTACAAATATAAAACTCAAGGTAGTTAAGAATATGTTTAATATAATTGTGTGGCCCGAAATGCAATATCTTTGAATCTGTACTTATTTGTGCTTTCTCGCATTAAAAATATATACAGTATGATACAGTATGTTCTTTTGTATGTACGTTCACAGGTGTAAAGGGTGATCTGAATAGTACCAACACTGGAGATATGAGGCAGTGTGCCCTGTGCCAACAAAATGGAGATTTTCCTCCCAGGGTGAGTTTGGCTCACAGTTTTGGCTCCATGTGTTTTTGGTGCAGCGGCTGCAACTACTAAACATTTCCACCAGCAAATATTTTACAGTTTATTTCCTTGATTCATTGTTTGGTCTAGGCTACTCTATCTGCTGCTTATTTATTGACATGAATGTATTTCCCTCCTGACAGGATGCAGGGCGGCTGCTGTACTTGGGACAGAATGAGTGGGCTCACATTAACTGCTGCCTCTGGTCTGCAGAGGTGTATGAGGATAACTGTGCTCTTTTACAAGTGCACAGCGCTGTCTCCAGAGGGCGCCACCTGGTGAGATATTACCTGGAAATAAAGGCACTGTTTCTTGTAGCTGGATAGTTATTTTGTCTCTCTAGCTCTAAATGTTTTAGGATTGGCTTATAAGTGAAAACCTGTGTGAAACATTTTATGATATCATTTTTAGTCAATAAAACATGATTTTTGTCCTTGATTCTCCAGCGCTGTGATCGTTGTGGGCAGTCAGGAGCCACGGTGGGCTGCTGTCTCTCCACCTGCCAGAGTAATTTCCACTTCATGTGTGCACGTGCCCAGCACTGTGTGTTTCAGCTGGACAGGAAGATGTTCTGCTTCAAACACAGAGATCTTGTCAGTGTGAAGGTATAGACACAATTTTCTCCCAGGTTTCTCTTGCATTTGTTTTTAAACAGTAGTGGAAGATGAACTCAGATATTTTATTCAGCTTACCAGTAGAATTACAATAGTTTAGACTCTGTAATAAACTCATTTACTCAAGATTAGTAAAGTATACGTATCCAAAAATATAAGAGTACCAAAAGGGAAATTAATAACATCGAAGATTTGCCAATTTCAAAATATTTGTTATCATATTGTTTTGATTGGTAGGGATAGGACAATATAGGCTTTTGTCACGGGTCGGTATAAAAACAACTCATACTGAGATACTTGTGTTAATTTTCCATTATTGGTATAATCCTGAATATTCGCACATTAGTGACTTGGAAAAGCTGTCTATTAATTGAATATTAATAGATCTAATATTTAAAAAAATACAGGAATTATCATGTAAGAAATAACAGACTCACACAAGGTGCAAGTATATATCGATGTGTATTGATTTGTGGTTTATCACTGTCTCTTAGACGGTGTCTGGGAAAGGGTTTGAAGTCGCTCGGCGGGTATACGTGGACTTTGATGGGATCACTCTCAGAAGAAAGTTCCTCACAGGCCTGGAGCCAGAAACCATAAACATGACCATAGGTGAGATTATCTTGTATGCTGTCTGCGGTTGATTTGAGCCACTTGTGTCTCCATAAAGAGAGGAAATATTACTGCTAAAGGACAGACTGCCCTCGGTGTGCTAACACATATCATTTCTCCTTTCTTCAAGGCTCTCTGCAGATTCAGAAACTTGGTGTGTTATCAGAGCTGTCGTCAAATGGGAGGATGCTGTATCCCGTCGGCTATCAGTAAGTGCTCATTGACAACATTCAACTGGTCGATCTCTCATTATGTTGGTGACTAAAAACTAGAGATGCACTGATGGCAATATTTCATTTTTCAAAAGCATTTACTATTAAACAACTTAAGAGAATCTAAAACTGAACCAATTTCCAGGAAATTCTGCCACTTTTACTCAAACCATATGTCAAACTACTTGTGCTGGAAAAATCAAATCCGACTGAAAATTCAATTCAATTTAACCCATTGAACTTGCTGTTTTACTATTTGTGTCAGTAAAACAGCAAGTTCAAGTTGTATATCGCACACAACAATCATGCTGCACGTGTGTTCACTGGCAAAATAATCAGATATATTGGATTATATAATTATTGTTCTCAAAACGACTTTATTTATGTAAATGTGTTCTTCTTCCCTTTCTTTACCAGATGTTCCCGGCTGTACTGGAGCACTGTGGACCCTCGTAGACGCTGCAAGTACACATGTAAAGTGACAGAAGTTAGCACGCCTCTGCCTGGTGAGGAACAAGATCCACGGTGGGACAATGAAGATAATCACACCATAATCCACAGCCCCAACCACCACAGAGGTCAGCAGGAACTTTGTATTTCTTTATTGAATGACAGACTCACTGCTGTTCTGAATCTAACTGTATTTTTGGTTGCACTAAAGTGTTTCTTTTATAATGCTATTAGTAGAGGATAAATGATTCCGGTTGCACGCTGGTTGTGTTTGTTTAACACTTTTTCTTCCCTGCCAGATATGGAGTCCCCGGAGCGTTTAAGCTCGTCATCCAGCCCAGTGAAGTCCGCTACTCCATCACCAAACTCCAAACAGCACAACACACCCGGGTCCAAAAGTCCTGGTTACACACAGACCAGGAAACCAGCAGGAGGGTCATCTCGACCTCTTCCATCTCCAGGTAAATAGTTTGGTTAATATGTTTTGATTTTAAAATCGTACTATATTCCTGAAGTAGACCTCACTGGTGCCTTCTCTTCACTCTTTCTTGTTTGATGCCTTCAGGGTCCGCTCTTCCCAAATCGCATCACATCCTGACACTGAGGGACCTGGAGGACACCCGGCGGCCTCGCAGGCTCTCATCAAGAAGCCGCTGCAGTTCCTCGCCAACAGACAGCGACCCGTCTGTGCCGATGACCCTCCGCTCTGGAGGCACCATCCAATCCAGGTGTGCTCTGTTCAGCTCCCCTCCAAGGACATCCAATTTGGGGGCAGTGTCTCCTCCTCTGTCACGACAAAACTCAGTATCACCACCAGTCTGGAGCTCACCACCCCGATCCAACTCCAGCATTACTGCAGGGCTATCACCTCGGCAAGGAGCCATCACACACTCCCCCAGAGGGAGGCAGAACTTTAAAATCACCACACCCATTTCTGCAGAAGTTCCTCAGGACTTCCTAGCATCGTCTGAGGCAGAAGACGCAGCGGTGGCCACGACCAATGGGATCTCACTAGCACCTGGTAACCTAGAGGAGGAGGTGGCCCACCTGATGGCCCAGGAGCTGCCGTACACGGTGTTCGACACGGACACAGAGGTAGCCGTGGCCTCCATGCTGAATGCTAAGCTTGACTTTGACGAGGCTCTGCTTACTGAGAACGTTGGCCTTCACTGTGTAGCACCGGGCGGGAGGGAAGAGGTGGAAAACATAGTGCAAGATTTGCAGATGCAAGAAGACCACCGGGAAAATGACTCTGAAGTTGAAGACTCAAGCCATTACTTTAAATTTGCCCGCACAGTTGTGTGTGATGCAGCTAGCAGCTCGGACGCCTCAGCACAGCTCACTTCAACGCAGTCCATCTCCCAGTTAGATGGAGCGGACGGAGGGTCGGAGAGTGATGAAAGCGAAACGATCGATGATGAAGCTCAGGAGGACACAGAAATAGAACATGGAGGGAGTCAGATCCACAGCACACATAATACACCAACTAAGCAGCTGACAGTCACTCTTCAGAGGTTGGATTCAATCTACAGCATGCCAAAGTCAAGCCATGACCTTGAGGTACATGAAAGTACTCCACCGTGTGATATCCTTGAAAATAGTTATGAAAATGACGAGGTGTCAGTTCAGGAGGAAGAAGTTCCCATGAGCTTTGAAACGCCAACAGCTCAAGCGGATCTGTTTCTGGATTCCACCACAGGCCATTTTACTTCTTCTGAAGTTGGCACTGAAGTTGGCACTGAAGTTGGCACTGAAGTTGGCACTGAAGTTGGCACTGAAGTTAGCACTGAAGTTAGCACTGAAGTTAGCACTGAAGTTAGCACTGAAGTTGCCACTGAAGTTGCCACTGAAGTTGGCACTGCTGTGTGCACGAATAATATTGAATTAGGCCTCAATGAAGACAGCTGCTCATCGGTCGACTCTGTTGAAGGGTTTAAAGATGATTTGAAAGACCCTGACTACTCTCCAGATCGTGCTGAGGGTCAGGAGCGTAAAACCAAAAAGTCTCCCACAGCGCCGATGAAAGCAATCATCATAAAGACAAAATGTCCACCAACAAACCTCCATCGCTTGTCGCCAAAACCTTGTCTTCCACAGCAGCGCACCTTCAAAATGATGTTGCCACCTCGGCCTGTACAGGTTATAAACAATGCTTCCCCCGCTGTTGTCACTGTTCCTCGCACAATCACCTCCCCGATCATGATCAATGGTTTAAACGTACCCATTCAGGCTGCTGCCACACAGGGACGAACCATCGCCATTCGCCTGGACAACCCGACAGGAAGTCAGCAGCAGGTTGCGATTCAGAATCAAGCCGCAGCCACTAGCTCGCCGGCTCCCGCCCCTCAGGTCCTGTTGGTCAACCGACAGGGTCAGATCCTGATCAAAGACCCGAGATCCAACACTTATCAGACCCTCAGCACAAACTCTCCTGCCTACAATAAAATAAGCCAGATTGCCAAGATTCTCCACAGCGGGAATGCTTTGCAGCGCTCGGTCCCTCGTGTTGTGATAAAGCCGCGGTCCAGCCTCTCCTCCACAAACGTCCCCTCCGCCAGTAACAACACCACAACCACCGAGAGAAAAATCATCGTCAGAGTGATGCCTATGAAAAGCGCCGCCGCTGCAGCTGCCACGACCCCGGTGACCCTGCAGACGACCCTGCAGACGACCCTGCAGACGACCCTGCAGACGACCCTGCAGACGGCCCTGCAGACGTCCCTGCAGACGTCCCCTGAAGCACGTTTCTCTAGCATTGAAGCGAGCACAGCCCAGGCTATCATCGACAGAGCCATGGCCACCCACCGCGAAGTGCCAAAGACTACACCCCTCATCCTCAGTAAAACTTGCCGGCCAAAGGTCAGAAAGCCATTGCCGGTTCAGGCTTCAGAGGTCTCAGATCAGTCACCAGCTGCACATTCAGAATCCCACAGCAGTTTAGTAATCGAACCAGCACTAGCCTCGTCATCACGCCAGCAGGTCAGAGTCAAGAGAGTGTCGGTGGTGTCCGGACGATCCTCCAATAAGAAATCCAAGATGGACTTTTTGAGGGATCCCTCAAGTGAGCTGGATCAAGTTAATGACGCTAGGTATTTAAAGATTCCATTCTTCTCTGCAATGCATGTTTAAGTTAGTACCTGTGATAATAACTATTAAAAAGGATGAGAATGGATAATATTTTTCTTATTACTAATGTCATTCGATTCTAAAAAGAAAAAGGATTTTCTGTTTCAGTCTGAACTTATTGTTAGTGTCTACCTACCAACATTTGAAAATGTTACGATAAATAACAATGCTGCTTTTCTTAAAGGGATATAACTTGGAAGACACATTACTGATAAATGCAGCCAAATTACATTTTAATAAATCACAGTACTCCTTTACATCAAGGAAAAAGCTTGAACAAGACATTTCCAGCAGTAGATGCAGAGTTTGACGCCAGTTTTTGCAACCCTCAGCTGTCAGATAAAACATGGTGGCATCAATAAAACTTGATGACCCTGGAGGCGTAGAATTTCAATCAATCGCATAACGTTTTAGTCTCAAGTCTCAGGAATAAGTCATTAAGTCATCAAAATCTTTCTCGATTTCTTCCATTAGACCGAGTGGTGTGAGGATTAAAGCTCCATCAATGACGGACATCCTTGATATGGACCAGGAAAAAATGTCACATGAGCCTGAGCAGTTAAGGATTACCGCTCCACCTCCTCCTCCTACACCCTCCAGGTAAGTTCATCTTAAAGGATCTCTCAAAAAAGAGCCTTATAACTGTGCTATAAAGAAACAAGAATGATTGGAGTAATGATTGCTGTTGTGTTTCATGAATTTAATGATCAATGTTTACCCATCTCCATGTGCAAGATCTTATGTATGCTTTTAGTATTTCTTGCTAAATTGGCTTATTTTGGAGATGACCAAATCATGCCAATTTTTTACATTTAATTGACATGTGTTCATTTTTCCTCAAAGGTGTTGTGGTACTTAATTATATAATGTTTTACTTAAATGTTTGTCCTCTCTGTTCAGGCACCCTCGGGTTGAGACTCCGCCCGCACCTGTAAAAGCCAACAGTCCCATTCAGGGTAAAACACACACGTGGGTCGGCGCTCGCCACGGAGACCTCTCTGAATGGGGCCCTTATTCAGGTTTGCAACTAAACATTATCTTCAATTGTTTTAAACATTCAGAGACTAAAACTTTTGTATTCTGGCAATTTTAGATCTTGTTCTTAATTTGCCACACATTATCTATCTCTCTATCTCTTAATATTGACCTTAATACATAGGTGTTTGTTTAACTATGCTTTCTGGAAATGTAGCACCTTTTTGTGATAACTATTTACCTGTACAGGTTTTAGCTCAGAAGAAGATGCACCTGCAACCAAACACAGGAAGAGGACGTACATGAACCAGCCCCACCTGCGCTTCGAAATCACCAGCGAGGACGGATTCAGTGTGAAGGCTAACAGCATAGAGGGTAAGAGCTGCGTGTGTTCTGTCCTTAGCTCTGAATATGTTAACAAAGCTAACCTAGTAGCTGAGGTATAATCTTCTAGGTGTGTTGTGCTTGGGACACTGTTTTGGAGCTGGCTTATATCGTAACCTAAAACTAAAACGGAGAAAATAAGTGAAAAATAATGTCCTAATCTGAAACTAAACAACAACAATAACAACATATCCTTTCAGGAAAAACAAAATGTAACTGATACGATATTGCCTGGTTACAAATGATGTTATCATAGGGACTGAAATAATACTGCCAATTTTGGTTACATTAAACCTCTGGCTTGAAGAGCCTTGACATTCCAGCAGATGGCGCTATGCTGCAATTGCTTTAATCCCTTTTTAGTTTTTTGCATGAGTAATTAAATAACAAGAACATGATTTAAATATCCTACATTAACTGCCATTTAACCAAGCTTTTCATCTTAGGTCTAGTGTTTTCTTCTGGGTGTATTGGTGAAACAGTATTTAAGATGATTACCGAATTAAACGTTTGTGAACACTTCTACACTGTTCTTAACAATATTTTAACTAAAACTACTGTTAATCTTAGCATGGATTAAAGCATTTGAGACAAGCAAAACAAGAGAGTCTGGTCAGCTTGTGTGCAGTTTAGTCCTCACACCCTCTTATCTCCGCCCCCCCCCCCTCAGTGGCCTGGCGAGCGGTGATTGACGGCGTCCTTGAGGCCCGTACAGGCTTCCACCTGAAGCAGCTGCCTCTGGGCGGGATGAGCGGGCCGCGGGTGCTCGGCGTCGTTCACGATGCTGTCATCTTCCTGCTGGAGCAGCTGCATGGTGCCGCCAACTGCAAACGCCATCGCTTCCGCTTCCACCGCTGCGAGAACATAGAGGAAGAGCTTCCTCTCAATCCAAGCGGCTGCGCTCGTACTGAAGTCTACACACGGTACAGTTTTTTTGTCATAACTGGATTTATTTGTAGGAGTTCATTTGCTTAGGGCTTAGGGTTGGTTTGTGTCTTCTTCTTGTTCAGTAATTTAAATTGCAACTCAAAATGAATTTACTTTTTTCCCTATAATCAGGAAAGCGACTTTTGATATGTTCAACTTCCTGGCATCGCAGCACAGAGTGCTCCCTGTCATGGTGGGCCCCTTTGATGAAGAGGAGGATGAATTCCCACTTAAATCTTCCAGGTAAGAGGATTACATTTGTGGCACTTTATGATCCAAGCTTAAAAATCTTAACTTGAACAGTATTATTCCAGGTAGTAATTTATCTGCCCCTGTCCATGGTGACGTCATCCTTTCTGTGTCTCACTCCCACAGGCGAGCCACCAGCAGTGAGCTTCCCATGGCAATGAGATTCAGACACCTGGAAAAAATCTCCAAAGAAGCAGTAGGAGTTTACAGGTAAAAAATGACAAAAAGACAATTTCATTAATGTCCAAAACATCTTTTGTTAAAATGTATTTAACTGATCCTAATCTGAAATCCTTTCTTAGATCTGAAATTCATGGTCGCGGCCTTTTCTGCAAAAGAAACATCGAGGCTGGTGAGATGGTGATCGAGTACGCTGGCACCGTCATTCGCTCTGTGCTGACTGATAAGCGGGAGAAATATTATGACGGCAAGGTTAGAAAAAACACGCACTATTATACTGTATTAGTCTTCATAATCACACTCAACTTATTACGATTATACAATATTCAGCAGAATTTAAGGGGTAAGGTTAGAAAAACAGGGTGGAATAAATGAAAGATAGTATGGTATAATGTATTTCCTTTTACAACTGCCTGGCAATTACAGCATAATAGCACACGGAAAAGGCAACATACATGGAATCTCAAACTGTTTATTTACATAATTAACATCTAGCTTTTTGAAAATATGGTCTGGGAAAAAAAAGTCTGAACATTTCTAAAAGTATGTTATTCCAAAACAGAAAAGATTTGTCCAAAACCTGATAAAAGTCCAGAAAATGTTGATATCTAACACTCGTAACTCACACTAACATAATCTAGATTGATGGATTGCTCTAAAGTTAAGAGTAAATATATGTATTTTAGATTTTGGGCTCAACAGTACCTTTTTTTATTCTTTAAGATGTTCCATGTACTGAAAATGTGAAATGTGATGGTTTCCCCTCCCTCCCTCCCTCAGGGAATCGGCTGTTACATGTTCCGCATCGACGACTTCGACGTGGTTGACGCGACGATGCAAGGCAACGCGGCTCGCTTCATCAACCACTCCTGCGAGCCCAACTGCTACTCTCGCGTCATCAACGTCGACGGACGCAAGCACATCGTCATCTTCGCCCTGAGGAAGATCCACCGGGGCGAAGAACTCACCTACGACTACAAGTTCCCCATCGAGGACGAGAAGAGCAAGCTGCACTGCAACTGCTCGACGAGGCGCTGCCGTCGCTTCCTGAACTAGTACAACACACACTCGCACACTACGCACAAATAGCCATCTTGACAAATGCACTTGAACTCAGGAGGCTGACTCTGATGAACTGATGAAGGCGACTGTTGTGACGTAGCCATGAGGGAATTCTCTGATACACAGATCTGCTTTGCTTTGTTGGAAACATAATTTATAGACTGATGGAGGATATTGCTGTCCCCTGAACTGCTGTGAACCAGAGTAGAGCCATATGTTTCTGATGAGTACTATTTATGTAAATGCTGGAGTGTTGGTCTGTGAGAAAGTGCAGTTAAATTAAGGACAATGCACCTTTTTGGGGGGATTTTTGTACCGTTTCACCATCTCATACACACATTCTTACTTTTCTACATTGAATTTGTCAGGAGCCTCTGCTAGAAGGCAATTATTACCAGCTACAAACAGTGCAAGCTAAGATAGCCCGATTGCAGCTATTACTGTTATGCTGGTATATTTGTAAATACAAGGTCACAGAGGAGGATGAGGAGAATTTATTCAGCACCTTACTTTGACACGACCTTCTCCAGCAGCACTGGTGTCGCAGCAGGAGGGACGTTCAAACACATTCATCTCCAGGCAACTGTAGTGCAGCTGCATTTTAACTTCAGTCTGGAGACCACAAGGTGCTGGGGACATTTAACCCAAAAGGTAGTTTTAATATAGTTACTCAAACCCTTTTTCCCCCCCTCAGTTGAAATGTCCTGTTTTTATTTGTGACGGCAGAAATGCTGTGATCTAAATGCTTTTATCCTGCAATTACTGTCTGTTCTTTATCTGTTCATTTGTAATGTTTGTGTATTTAAGGTCTATAAGGGAGAGTTCCCTGGTGCAGCCAGGGTTCAAACTGAATATAATGATTTTGCTCCGCTGAGTCCCTTATACACCTTTTTGTATTTTTGTATATTTGAACAATAAATGTATATTCAACAAGCTGATGGAAATAAATGTGTTTGAGCTTTTAACTTTCTATTTGTAAGTTGAGGTTGAATTTATAAACCGAAGCTATTGCTGAGTTAATCAAAGTTTAAGTTACATTTCACATCCTCTTGTCTCTCACAGTTGTACTACCTCAAATATATTATGAAGCAAGATTTAATGAATTTGACGACTCATTTGGTAAAATAAAGATTCCTTATTGTTCAGTTTCTAATCATTACTTCTTGATAAAACAAATAACATCAATAATAATTCTTGCTATTATGCCTGCGATCTACCCCTTTGTGCAGCTGAGTTTAGCGACTGGATCTAGACAGATTTGAGACATTTTAGTTAAAAGGCTGAATGCTGTGGAAATATGTTTTCTTTTATTTATTGACACGCAAAGCTTTGTTACTCAATTGGCTTATTATGGATCCTTGCCTGTACAAAATTGTATAAAGAATTTCTAAACCTGTTAAATATTTTTTTACCTTCAATTTCTTTTTTAATTTATGTTCAATAAAGATTGGAAATGTTAAAATGTGCCTTGGATTTTCATATGATTTCAAATCAGTAAACATATTTTGTTAATGGAGATAATTAAGAGAACATGTGCTGTATAAATACCCATATACATTTTAAATGTGTCTTTTTTAATATTTTTTACATTTATGGTATTTTTTGTGTTTGTCTTTTTTCCTGATTGCGGAACCAAGAAATCTACAGATCAGTGACAAACTAAAGAACATTTAAAAAAAGTGTAAGGGTGTTAACCTGCAGCAGGTTTGTGCTCAATGGCAAATATAAAAGCCTCTAAAGTCTGCTGACTGTTTGAAATATCTCAATGTCTTCAGTTTGTTTTATATCTGGTGACGGAGGATTCATAGCAGAATTATATTAATCTTTAACAAACTATTTAGAATCCTCTATTGTCCTGTTTCATTACATGAGTGTTATGTAAAGGGGCCCTGTTGTGCTTTTTGAGGTTTTCTCTTTCCTGTAGTGTGTTGTATAGGTTTTCTTGCATGTAAAGCAGGGGTGTCCAAACTACGGCCCGGGGGCCATTTTGAATAGACCCTCAGCAAATTCAAAAAGTATAATGACTTGAGTATAATAAACTTCTGCTTGTCTTATATTGTACTTCTTAAATATATATGTTCAAATATATTACACAGTATTCATGTGTTAAAAAGACCACTTTTCAAATAAATTCAGTCAATTAAAGTTGAAAACATGTAAAGCCAAATAACACATTTACATAGCAACCTTGAAATATACCCTTCATATTTCCTCTTATAAGCGATCTGAAGCTTCTGTTTTAAGGAATGAGCTGCTAACAAGATAAATGAAACTCTATGGAGAGCTGTGATGTAGGCTGTTTTTTTCTTACAGCATTTTCAAGTTTACCTACATTGGATTGATTTTTCCAACTTATAACTTGACTTACAGTATGAGGCGATATACCTCACCTCTGGGAGGGGCCCAGCCCTTCGTATATCTTTCTGTATGTGGCTCCTCAGTTTGGACACCCCTGATGTAAAGTGTCTGCAAAGGCTAAAATCCCAAAGTTCATACCAGTTATCTGGGCTGTGGTTTCAGACAGAGGGTGAAAAGAGTGGCTGCAGCCAAAATACCTTTTTGAACATTAAAGCATGTAAACATGTCACAGTAGAAGCACAAAACACAACTATAAAAAACATTAGCATAATAGTTCCCCTTAATTTATTGACGATTTCCCTTAATTTGTCACCTATCTGTATGCACAAGTATTTCCTTTACGTTGATCCTTTTTTCTAGCGTTGCTGTAGTTTTGGAAAGAAAGTCTTATCAGGTTTGAGTGGATCACTGATAAACCTATTGAATGTTCCTGCAGCGAACTGCTGAGTAAGGAGCACCTGCTCAACTGCTGTCTCACATATTATTGACAGATAAGAAATGTGACATCAGTTCAGTGCACATCAGCATCTAAAACTGGACTCCTCTCCTGCATTGATTCTCAAAAGTGCTGGCGTCTGTGAAAAGGTTTCATATTCATTATCTACATGATCATGATATATGTATAACTTAAATATCTGTGATGGTTAATATATGTTTTACTTTACTAATAAATATATAACTCTGTACCTGGTAAAAAACGGGCTATTTTAAATGTCTCTTAATGTTGAGTTCCCTATGCTTGATTTTTCCCTCCTTTTAAATGTTTTGTGTGTGTTTTCAGTTGTATTCACACTGCTGCCTCCCTTAGCCAGGTCTCCTTGAACACACATACAAACACATATTCACGAGTTCTGATCTACTCAATAAAATGCACATAAAACATAAAAATACCTAATTGCTGAACACATAACAAGTTTGCTTTTTAAACAGAGTTTAATCTATTAGTTCTGATGTCGTTCAAGGTCTTTTTGTTGCCTGCAGCCATATGGCTCTTTCCCAGAACAGTTTTGCATTTTACCTTCCCGACCTTGAGAAATGTGCGAACGTAAAGAGCAGGAGGCGTATATAAAGAGTTACAAGCTGAACTTTCTCTGACATTCAAAAGATAAGTTACCATGAAGGCCCTGATATTCCTGGCTCTGCTTGGAGCAGCGTGTAAGAGACTTGCCGATCACTTTTTATTTCTCTGGTTTTGATAAATGAATATTTCTGCACTACGGGACCTTATAGTTTAAAACAATACTTTTAACTTATTAATGGTTTTGTTTATTTTTGTATTCATGGTAATAAAGTGACCTGATGTGCTGTTTCAGTTGCTGCTGAGGAGGAGAAGGTTGTCGGCGGGTACGAGTGTCCCAGAAACTCGGTTCCCTACCAGGTGTCTCTGAACGCTGGATACCACTTCTGCGGAGGATCCCTCATCTCCAGCCAGTGGGTGGTGTCTGCTGCTCACTGCTACAAGTCGTAAGTACAGGAAGTCACAATGTTTTTCCCCTGAAACCCGAGTCTGGAATAATACTTTTCCTCATCAAGCAGATTTTTTCTTGTAACCTCAATCCCTGGTTATTTTTTGAAAATCTTAAATAAGGTAATCATGAATCATAACGTCCCACTGCATAAGAAAAGGAGAAACCGAAAGATGTTGTGAGTTGGTTCTTTTGTACATTTCTGTATTTTTTAAATATAATTGTATGTTTTACTACTCTACTATGATAGCAAGCTAGAGTTACACCAACTAGAGTTAATGCTTTGTAATCACAGTCAGTCAAAAACGTAATACATCTGAAATTAGATAAATACAGTATGCATTTTTTTGTATTGGAAAAGCATTCGTTTAACATTCATAATTTTACAAAGCATAAATATTACTGCAAGTAGATTCACATGTAAAACCAACATGTTTCAGTATATTTGATAACCATTTTATGTGTGGCTCTCCAATAATTTTATTTTATAACATCAGCTTTCATTATTTATAATTGTAGCTTAGAAATGACAATAAGCAAAAGAGAAAGCTGTTAGATGCGATAAAATATTTTAAATCACATTCAATTCTTCCATCAGGCCGAATAAGTCTGACCTCGAAGGTTTAGTCTACTCAGTCCACTTAGTGCAAACCCGTGGAAAAAAGTCTTGGGAATTTGAAGGAAGACTTCAACCTTTCCAAAATATATATTTCATATATTATTTATATCCGTTTATCAATAGTGTGGCTCTGAATTAAGCCACTTCCTTTTGACAGACTTACTGCCTGCTGCTAGAAGTTTTGTATACGTTTATCATTGATAATCCACCCTTTAAATGAGATCCACTGATGTATGTGGCGCCAAATACATTATGATTGTAATTCATTTAAAATATTTCTAAACGTAACTTTCATAATTCCACCAGTCGTATCCAGGTCCGCCTTGGCGAGCACGACATCGCTGCGAACGAGGGCATGGAGCAGTGGATCGATGGAGTCAAGATGATCAAGCACCCACAGTACAACAGCTACAACCTGGACAACGACATCATGCTGATCAAACTGAGCCGTCCCGCCACCCTCAACAGCAACGTCCAGACTGTGGCCCTGCCCAACCGCTGCTCCCAGGCCGACGAGAACTGCATGGTGTCCGGCTGGGGCAACCTCTCCGCCAACGGAAGTAAGGGATGACTCATGCCCAGGGTTATTTACAGAGTTACACAATCACATAACAAAACACATGTCATTATAATCAGTCACTAAGAAAACATATGTAGTTCAAATGTTTTTGATTGGTGATTCAAGGAGTTACATCCGGAAATATTATTTTCAGTAAAAAACGTTAATTTAAAAATATAGCAGTTTTTTTGCTCTGTTCCCATCTTAATTCCGGTTTAATACAAATTTGACAGCAATTAAAACATTTTGTGGAGCTTTATCGCCCAGTTAAAAAAAATTGTTAAAACCTTATCCCGAAGTAATCAAATACAGCTCAGGAAAAAAATTAAGAGACCACTCAAAATTGTTCTTAAATCTCAATCTCTACATGTATGGCAGCCATTCCATTCCAGTGTCTGTTGAATGCCAACACAGGGAAATGTTGTCAGTAGTTTACAGAATAAAAACAAATTTCATTTCACTCAAACACATACCTATAAATAGTAAAACCAGAAAAACTTATAATGCTGCAGTGGTTTCCAGAGCTGTATATATAAGGATTCATTTGCAAAATGGGAGTCATTTAACTTTCCATTGAAAAATGAAGTCATCTTACTTCACTCATAATATTTGAATATTGGCAGATACAGTAACTAAGACTTTCCTTCCTGCTCCACAGACGACTTCCCTGACAGGCTGCAGTGTCTGAGGCAGCCCATCATCGATGACAGGATCTGCAAGAACGCTTACCCCCACCTCCTCACCGACAACATGCTTTGCTCCGGATTCATGAGCGGAGGTGCCAGCAGCTGCCAAGTGAGTCGGACTGAACCACAGTGAACACACAGGGGTCAGGATGTGCAGGAGTGTGCATTTCTTCCAGCAGTACACAGACACACTATAGCACTTATTTCACTGAGCATTTAGATGATATACTCCTTCAATGCAAATGCTGCATGAATCCACTCTAAAATCCTTTAATTATAAAACAGATACGTTTTCAGTGTACCCGTTTTCAGTGTACCTGTTTTTAATTCCACTGCCACTGCTGTGTCTGTATTGATGACTGCAGGAAGATGATGCAACAGTATTGCAAGAGACATTTTAAATCACTGGACATCCTTCATTTTTTCAGCAGAGTCCGATAATTACATGCTTCTCATGGCATACACTGATTAAATATCCGATCATTTAAAAAAAAAAATGTCTTATTTGAAAAGAAGTTGATAACCTGTAAAAGTTATTAGCGCCTCTAAGGTAAAAAAAGGCCAAGATGCAGTGAGCAAAGAAAGATGATAATTCCACAGCTTTGAGTGTGTAGATTTTGGGCGTTTTAATTAAAAACAACTTGGTATATGAACGGCTGATCATTGACAGGCTACAATTAAATTAGCGGAACAATAAATAATAATATAAATTGATAATCCTTTTGCCCTGAACCCGATATATATAGTTCACCCCTAGGTTTTTATATGTATATGATCAATGTGACTTGAAAGAAGCTTAAAGATTACAGGTGCTGTGGGTACAGTTGGATGATGATGAACATACAGTATATGATATACTTATTAAGCAGTATATAAAATAATAAAGAGATGTATTTCTGTGAAAAATAGTCTCTCAATCCACAACTCTCAACCACCTGCAGCAGTTTTGCATTATAGAGCAAACATCTGTCAACATATTTTCATTCATAGGCTACAAATTATACAAATGGGTATTACATGTCATTCCATGGGATCTCCTTTTGAAACCTTCAGAAAGACAGTTTGAATGCAATGCCTGCCATGTACCGTGTTTGTACTATTACAGTAAAATGTAAACCTGTGTCTTCTTCTGCTTGTGTTGCAGGGAGACTCTGGTGGTCCTCTGGTGTGTAACGGTCAGCTGCAGGGGGTCGTGTCCTGGGGTTATGACTGCGCCATGCAGGGACATCCCAGCGTCTACGCCCGAGTGTGCCGCTACAACAGCTGGATCAGCAGCACCATGTCCAGCAACTAAACACACAGTCGCCCATACATCCACATGCAAGCTGACTTTGTAACACCATACTGTTGTTATATTTGTATTTTTTTCATATAAATCTTATGAATCACATGTTAAGGCATGATATTCAAAAGAATCGGACAAATAAAAAATATTTCATTAGCATTCCCCAAATCTGTTTTGTTTAATACATTGAGTTTCAAAGTTATTGTCAACTAAACATGCTTTGTGTTTTAACTTATTTTTAACTTATTCTGTTCTCTCACAAGGCCACTACTGTCTTGAAATTCATTTTAAAACTATACATTTTGGCAAAACAGCCAAGTATAATAGTTAATTTGTACTAATTGTACTATAGACACATGCATGTCTACAAAATGCTTCCTGCACTCTGGGCAATGGAGTGATATGTGAGACAAGTAACTTGTGTAAATAAGAAGTAAGGCATAACTGCATTTTATTTGCCTTTGCATGAGTTTCTTTGATAGTTCTTTATAAACTTTGCTGTTTCTTGTTCGCTGAGGAAATCTAAACATACAGAGGAACAGATACTGACAGCAGAGGGGAGAGCCACGCAGACATATCAAACAGGAAAGCATGCGCATGGGTCATAACTATAATTAGGGATGGCAAGACGGTATATATTAAACTTAAGGACATAAGTACCAGCAATATGGCATAGATTTGGCCTAATCGTAATTATAATACATTTGCACAAAAAAAAGATCCTCTGATTATAATTGTACAGTTTAAAGAGCACCAATGAAGGCATCATTTAACACCATAAGTATAAATCCCACGTGGTATATACTTATACAGTATGGACATGCATGTACTTAGGTAAGGCTGAACTAATCAATATTCCCATTGGTGATTAATAAAGAAATAATGTTTTTGTTTAACTGTTAAGTCTCTAAAATGAAGGAAAATACACATTCTGTCATCCAGTTGCTTATTATTTCTGAGCAATCTGAGAGGCAAATCCTTGACATTAGAGAAGCTGGAATATACCAATTTCCAACATTCATATTCAGTGAAACAATTAATGAATATACTAATCGTTTCAGCTGTGGCAGCAGATGAATCGATGCAAGGGGATACACTGGCAGTGTGACCAACCTGCTCTGGTGTAAAACCGCTTGTCATCGCAGGGAGCCAGCTCCTTGTGTCTGGCAGGCTTCAGTGTCAACCCATTCTGGGACCTTCAGTTGGCCAAACCTGAAAAATCAATTATGATTTTATGTGATGAACCAGCTGACTGGACCGTTTGGCAAATGAAAATGGGATTTATTCAACACATATGTATGGAATTTTAATTTATTACTGTGTACAGGGGCGGACTCATGCTATCTGAGCTGCAGGACCAAAACATAATAATAGGGCAAAGGCTGCATGCAGTTTTCTCTATAGGAAGGTCCTTGTATAGAGTATATTTTTTTACTATGTAATACTACTTTAACTCAAGTTAACAATCTAAGTACTTCTTGCACCACCGCTTCCATCTGATTTTCAGATGCATTTAATAAGCTTGATACAGAGAAATGAATAGCGAAAAATATTTAAGATATGGTTTCCTTGATTAAAATGTCAACATTGTATTTCACTAGTTCTAAATATTACTACACTTACAGCTGTAAATAAATCAGAGACAATGCATTTCCTTTTTGTTAAATTTGCGGCAGACTTGGCACTGTCTTTATCCTCCTGTCACATTATCTATATCCTGTATGCCAGTGATGATTGACGTATGCCATGTTGTCTGTAGCTAGGTCCTTCTCACCTCTTCTGGGAGTCTGTGACATTTAGCAGGCTCTAAAGGAAACTGCAGTGCCAGGTTTCTGCCGCAGCATCCCTGCTGACTCCCAGGCTGTTACTGTGATTTCTCGCATACATTGTAGCCCACATACAATATTTTCTAACCACATTTGCTTTTTTATTCCTTTCACACTGCCCTCTGCAGACCCAATACACATTACACATTATCCAATTCCAATTTATCAAGTGCATCTTTTTAATATCTTTCAATTTAAAATTCCTTGACTGACTTTATTTAGTTGAATACACTTAATAGTTAATATTTGTGTCTGTAAACAACATCATTCATTAATTCTTAATTTTAAGATAGCCTACTTATAATGTATTTATACTATGCATCTGTTCATGTAAAACCTCTGGTTAGGATCAATACAGTATTATCTTATCCATAAATAAAAAAGAGACATTACCACTATACTATAATATTTGGGTTACAAAAATGTCAACCAAAAGTGCCTAAAATTATTTTTTGGCAAATCCGAAACATAATTTCAGGAGCAGCCATGCGTAACAATGCTCCAATAATATCTGCAAACATTGTGCTGTAGTAGGCTACATCAGTGAGGAGGGCCTTAAGAAAGGAAACATGTATTCAAGTACACAACTATTTGCAGGAACATTTGACTAGAATCAAACCGACCAACTTCTCTGATCATGAGAAATAGTTTTGACCTAAAAAGCTATGTGGAAGTCAACAATCAAGCACATTTCTGATTTTGTTGATATGATTCCTTCAATATTTATACAAAAGTATATGAAACCTCATAGGCCTACCTAGGATGTAAGGTATTCTCAATATTATATTTAGTTTTTAGGTGTATGTCAAGGTTGTGTGATTGGTTGTTTCTTTGGTCCAGATATTATACGAAATATTGAAAAAGTACACTTGTGTGTTGGGCACTTTTTGTTCAATTTGCATACAGCCTGTGTAATTGGACAGGTGGATATCAGCCATTTCATCATTTCTGAGGTGAGCTTACAGAACCTTCACAAACTCGCTCCTGCTGCTGGTTGACATCTTCAACCTTGACACATTAAAGACAGACTGGTGAGCTCAAATTTAATTTATACTTTTATCATAATGCCTTTTTAGAACTAAGCTACGCCCGTCGCAGCCGTTGGAAAGGCTGGAACTTTTGCTAGCTAGCTGCTAGCTAATGTAGCTAAAATAGTGAGCGGTTAGCTTACGTTAGTCACTGATAGCACTCATGACATATGCTCTATCAGTTACCGACACATACGCCTCTCAATTTATGAATTAATAAAATATATCTTCCTTTTCATATACGCTCCAAAGCCCAAAGCCATGTGGTCGGGTTTTGGATGTAGGTTTGTCTCACTTTAAGCCATGGCAGCTAATGCAGCTGGAGGATGGATTCTGAGGCGGGAGGGAGGGAGATTACCCGATTTAAATGGATGATAGCCTGAAATGACCTCCATAGCAGCTCCAAATTCCTCCTCCTAACCCAGCCTTTAAACCGAAATAACTCCACCACTAACGGTAATATGAATTGTATATTTAATTTGCATAGCCTGTCTCGAGTTCGTGTTAAATGGAGGTTTAAACAATGTTTAATGAGCTTCTTCACCGTGATGGTGATGCTGCGTATGAACTATTCCCATTGTTTCCCAGCAGAGGGTAGTGTTGTTGTGGCACCCATTTCACATCATCTCTGGCCCATTTCTATGTTAAAACAGACCCGAGGAAGACTTTTCAAGAAGTGTGCTGCAGTCAGCTTACGAGAAGGCAACTTCATGAGAAAGCAGCACCAGTGGATGGTAAGAAACATTTTACTTTGGCTTCTTTTGTTTTCAACCAACCAGGAGCCTTAGCTGCCTATATTATAGTCTAACTGCATCTTTGATTTGACTTGCTTAGAGTGCTTATGGATTTAAACAAATAACGAATTCATGTCTATCATAATATATTTGAAATTATGACCTTTGATAACACTTTTCATAAAATATACTTGCATGTTTGTCATGCCATCTTTTTGTTGTGTTCCAAGGTGGAAAGTAATGCATTATGTGACTACTATGAGGGTGTTATCAATAAAATACATCATACCTGGCCCGAATGTAGTTATGTCTAAAGACAGCAAATAGATTAAGCTTCATAACCAATTGACATAAAGTATCTCTCTTGACCTGCCATGACCCGCCTTTTTCTTATTTGGTCTCACCTGATAAAATATTAGTAAAATGTATTAAATCATCTCAAAGCATCATAAATGCCACTCTCAACATCTGCAGGAAACCTGTGGCAAAACATAACTGCAAAATTACTTTATTTCTAAAGATCACTTATTTCAAAAGCCTCTCAAGGTCACAGTATGTACGTTTTACTCAGCTTTTTACTGTATAACATTTTAACACAATGGCATATATGCCAACCTTCATCCCAACTGGTATTGTTATTTATTCTGACATGTTGCCACGTAGAGTAGAAAATATAGAAAGTTTAAAAATGTTTGTGACCAGCGAATGCAAACCTGACAATATTAATTGTCTATCAGAATTATAATGTTTTAATTTTCTATGAATTCAAAAGTAAAAAAATAAAATACGATCTGAGCAAAGTCTGACGTGTGCATGTCACAATTGCAGGCTTGCGCTAAAGATTGAGTAATAACTTGCCAAATAAAAATAATCGATTCATTGTGTACTTTTTGTAATCTTTGGTGAAAATACCAAACATTAGCTTGTAATACTGTAGCTTCCTAAATGTGAGGGTTTTCTCCTTTTCCGCGTCTTATTTGATTGTAAATTGAATCCCTTTAGGGTTTTAATTGTCAATTGAAAAACATAAGCCAACTGAAGGCATCACTTTTTGTCTCTGGTAGCTGAAGATAAGACTCTTTCATTATTTGTGAAATGTTTGGACTGAATGATTCATCAAGAAAATAAAAGTAGGATTAATTAATGAACATCCAATCATTGCTTGCAGCATTAATTAAATTATGTCTCCAAATAATTTCAATTTTTTGTTTTGTTTATGAGTGTAGTTTGACTCTATAAACTGCGCCTAAAGTTCTTCTCATTAAATTATTTATTTCTCTGACCCCAAAAAGTCATGTATTTCCTTTCTGGTATGTAGGCTAACATGATATGCGGATTACCAGCAGCGTGTGAAACAGTGCATCTAAAGCCAAGGTAGATGAATGTGAGTTTACAAATGTGCAGACATGTTCACACACACACACATACATACACACACACACACACACACACACACACACACACACACACACACACACACACACACACACACACACACACACACACACACACACACACACACACACACACACACACACCACACACACACACACACACACACACACACACACAC